CTCAAGACCTCTCTGGACGTCACTTAGGGTTTCTCCAAATGTGGGCTTCAGAAATGGGCTTTTTGGGCTCAGAGGTTGATGGCCGCGGTCGGGACAAGTGTGACCGCGGGGAATGAGTGGTTTGCCGCGGTCGGGATGCTCCTGACCACGGGAAATTGCTTGTTGGCCGCGGGTGGAAGTGCTTGCCGGCTGGTTTACGGGACATCTTGCTCTTCGCGTATCTTTTGATTGAACCGTTGGATTTCCAAGCTGTAAAGTGCACTGGAAAGCTGATACTTCCATCTTTAAGGTCTCCAAATTTGAGCTGGATCAGACGGTGAGAAGGCCTTCAATCAGGGGTGAACTTCTGACGGTTTGACTCTGAGCTGAAATCTGGTTTTCTATCCGTTTTGTTAAGCTTTTCCCTAAGTTACCTGAAAAGAGTCTTGGAACTACAAATACTAGAAAAACGTGATAAAAGTACTTAAAAGCAATTAAAACATAGAAAAAGTATTTCAAAACGATCCATAAAAGTGGTCAAAATACGGTGTTATCAACCGTATTTTGACTTTTTAATGTAGACTTCTTTCTAAAGTCTACTGTTTACGTCTGCACAAGAAGTCTACTTTTAAGTTACTTTTGTAGTTTGACCAAAAACGTATAGGTCATTTTAGTGTTTGACTAAAGTTTTTTAAAAAATAAAAAATTCAGAAAACTCCGGAAAGCTGCAGTACACTTCAGAAAGAAGTCTAAAAACTGTAGACTTCTTTGGGAAGTCTACTTATATTTTTCGGTCAAACTTAGAAGGAATCTTTTTTTTAGTAAACTTCACAGTGAAGTCTACTCAAAAAATTTAATTGCAAAAATAACCTATTTTTTTCCGTAGACTTCTATTGAAAAAGTAGACTTGAAAGACTGTCAGAGAAGTCTACTCTTACATGAAGTCTACAATAGAAGTCTACTTTGTTAGTCAATGCATCGGTCAAATGCTAAAGTAACATTTTTGGCCGGAAGTCTACTTCTGAAGTCTACTGAAGGAAAAGTCAACGGATTGGTCAATTGCAAAAATAACTTGTTTTTTAGTAGACTTCTTTAGTAGACTTCACTATGAAAAAGTAGACTTCTCCTCCAGTCTACGTTTGAAGTAGACTTCTCCAGCAGTCTACGGATGAAGTAGACTTCTCCAGTAGACTTCAATGATTTTCATTTCATTTAAGTCGATATTTATTGGGGAATCAGATTTTTTTTATTTTTAAGCTACTTAGTTTATCAAAGTAGACTTCTCCAGCAGTCTACGGATGAAGTCTGCACACGAAGTCTGCTCGGTAACATTATTTTAAAAACAAAATTACAGAATATATATAAATTCTTTTTTGTATTTTTAGGTTTTGGAATGTGTGTTACCAACTGGTCTAATTACTCAATGAGTATCATTTGCTTTAAGTCGATATATATTGTGGAATCGAATTTGTTGATTTAATAGCTAGTTAGCTTGGAAGAATAGACTTCATCTCCAGTCTACAGATGAAGTCTCCTATATAGAAATGACACAAGATGATTATGGAGGAAGAATGTTCTTTTTTGAGTGATGGTTGTACCTTTGAGGAACTTATTTAATGACACAAAATGATTATAATCTGAACAAGAAAAATGAGTTGGTGGAGTTAACTTTTTGATTAGACTTCAAATGAAATCTTGAAGTCTACTAATGTGCTTCTTATGTGGCTTTAGATATAATGTGTTGTCTTAGGTGATGGCATTGTGGCTTTAGATATAATGTGTGTTGCCTTAGGTGGAATGATGAGATGTATTATAAACACGAGATTAGTTATTTTATTTCTTTATCATTTTAAAAATTTAAGTTTTGTTGGATTCAAAAGTTTTTTTTTAATCAGTTTATGAAACTATTCTTCTGAACTATGATATTCTTGTCTTCATTTGAAATATTGATTATGACTGTAATCAGGAAAAACAACAAGACATTATGCATAAAATAGCATCACACTTGATAAAAATACATAACATGACCAATACACTTATGCTTATTACAATTGATGACCAATAAATACCATTACACTTGATGATCATTATCCAAAAAAAAACCAGAGGTCTCAATTTTACACCAGAGGCATATTCTGTTATCCCAGCCTTCTCCAATGCTAAAGTTACGATTACATGTTGCAACTTGGCACCAACGAGAAGAACAAGCTGTTGAAAAAAGAAGAAGAAGATGCAAACCAAAGCGCAACTGATAAATGATAAGAGACTCAAATATCCAAAGAGAAAGAGAAATATACAATGGAGAAATAGTTCTTACAGTTCTCGGAATGATCGCTATATAAAGATTGGATCCTGCATTAGCATAATCCATATAAACTCTTCAACCACACAAGAGTATAAATCCTTTGTAAATCAATTGCATATAGAAGATTACTCACTACTATATAAGACAAAAACAGCAACGAACAACAAGCATTATTAGAAAAACATTCACAAGAACGATAGATGATCATCATGCATGCAAGCATGACCATTTATGAATTTAGGTTCTCTAACGCAAAAAAAAAAGAATGAAAACAAAGAAAAACAAATATTTTTCATAACTAATTCATAAATAAAAATACAAATCAAATCAACTACAAACCCAGATTTCAAAGAAGCCTAATTTCAAATTGATTTTGAATACATCGCCAAACAAACAGATGGTTCTTTGGAATCAGTTTATACACTACTAGAGTGAAATCTGCCGCTAATTTATTAGCTTCTCATTTTTTTTTTGCTGTTTCAAAAAACAAACTTTATAATCAAACCCACTAAAATTTCACTAAAACATTGCTGTTCTTACTAGTGGAATCTCTAAGACGAAGACAATTATTAACTGATATTTTAATTATGGACATATCTGGTGAACTAATTAAGTAACCAGTCTACTTGCATAAACTTTATTAAAAAAGAAAAGAGATTCACACAGGGAAATCTACTATTAGGAACGAAATATGTGCTCTAGCTATTTAGAATAAGAACATACCATTAGGGATATCTTTGAGAGGGGTTCCTTTTCCCTGCAATATCCAAAAGAAAATCATAAACAGATCTAACAAATGAACACTATAGAGACCAAACACAAGAAACAATTGGCAAACCTTTTCAATATGGAATTCCTTTGAAAATAGATCGAAGAAACTAAAAAAGGGAAGGTTAAGAGTGACAGCGAAGATATTTCTTGATAGAGCGGCGGAGACAGACGGGAATGACGAAGCAGCGAGAGAAGCCAGAGAGAGATGAAGTACAGCGCCTTTAGAAAGAGAAAGGGTTTCATGTTTTTGACAAAATTAGGGTTAATTTCATTATACAGTGAGATAAAAAATTTGGTTAAATTATTTTTTTTTGGTTTAGTTATTGGTTAAATTCTTTTATTCGGTTTAGAAGTCTACTAAATTTAAACCCTAAATCAAATATTTTATTCTTATTAATTGAGATTATAAATTAAAACTTATGAATGTGAAATAATAATTTATAAACATTATAAATAACTATATCTAATTTATGATTGCAATTTTGAAACCAAAATTATTTTTTATTATTTTTAAAATTAAATTTTATGATTTAATTATATAGTAGACTTCATAGGCTTTGTTAGAAGTCTAAAAGCTTAAGTAGACTTCGTCAGGGTTTAAATCATAATTAGGACATCCGTTTTTTGTTTGGTCATACAGGATTATATTGTCTTTTCACTACCCATTTAGGTTATTTTTGTCAAATGTTGTATCAGGAGTCTATTTTTGTATTCAAAATCAAATTTTAGGTCATTTTTAGCGAAAACCCCTATAAATAATAATTAAAGTTATATTTATTTTGTTATACAATTGCATAAATGCTAGATATTAGTTTTATAATTAATTTTAATAGTATTTTTTATATAAATGAAATTACATATTAAATATATTAAATTGGATTAATATGCTCTATCTAACCAGTCTAACATCAGACTAAGATACTTTGTTTTTGATATAAAAAAAAATTAAATTATAATATGTATGAAAAATTTTAGATTTTCTTATTATCAAATAGATTATGTGATTATTTTTTAACAAAATTAAAATCACAGAAAGATGAGATCAAGAATATTTAGTAACATAAGTAATATTATATGTATTATTTTTTTTTATAAATATTTTGATAAGAAATAGAAAGAGAGAATAAGGAAATTGGCCAAAGGACTTTGTTGCTTGATTATATATCTCTCTTTCAAAACGGTCTAATATACATCAGATTTATGAAAACCATCATCTGCTCTGGTTTCTTAGTTGTGTTTGATCACCATTGTAAGGAGTTAGAAAATCTCTGAAATTTCTGTGTCAATCTCCGAAAGTAAAATGGTGGTTCGACTACATCCATATAGAGAGAACATCATTAAGAAAAAGAGGTACCTATTGATGTCACCAAACAAATTCTATTACATTGAATTTGAAACTGGTTTCAAACTATCTACTTCATATCATACATTATATATGCATCTTATGATGATGATATCATTAGCTTGAGACTGAAGGAACGTGCTTGATGATGCATATTTGCTATTAATAACTAATCATATTTTATGCCGTATTGCACACGCAAACTTTTATACAATCTATTTCAAATGGGGTCATTAAGTTTATGTTTTAACATTTGAAAAAAAATTAAAGTGAAAATAAATATTTTATAAAATTAATATTATTTTAATTTTAAGAACTTCTAAATAGTGTTCACTAATAGAGAAGAAAATATTAAAAATTCTTAACTATTCTTAAACCAAAAAAATATACTAAAAAGCTCCTAAGAACCCTAACATGGATCTCACTAATGGAGACGGTCTTACTACTTACCATGTCCATTTTAAAATTTTAATTATCATTTTGTGTTTTAAAAAAAAAAAATAATTTTATCCCTTTCTTTCACTATACGACAATGTTTTACCCTCTTCTTTTTTTTTGAAACTTCTACTGCTTAGTTTTTTTATGCCAATAAATAATGAATTCATGTACACACAAAGACCCAATTTGTACTTATGGTTTAGAGCTCCGACGATGAATCACCCCGGTTTCGCCATCCAAACCAACCATAGGAACCGGTTAATTCGGTTCCGACGAGATGCTCACCACCAGATCTCAGCCATTCGATTCTTGGTTTAACCCATTTTACCCTCCCAAGCTGAAGTCAAACGCGACTTCATACGTCTTGCTCCTAAGGTTAAAAAATTATCCCTTTTCTGTGTCGTATTTTTTGTTTGTTTTTTTTTTTTTAGAGAAGAAACTTCCAAACTTTATTATATTTTTGTCAAACTTAGTCAAGAAAACAACATAACTGATCACATTAAAAAATAGTTATTGCAGTATCATCCAGATGTGCACAAGGGACAGGAGAAGGATTTCAAGGAGATCAAATCCACTTACAAGTTTAATTTTTGTTACGTTCTTTTTCTGATTTCTTGATTTTTTTGGTTTTTCTAAAAAATTAAATCTTATTAAGTGGATAAACAAAGTTCAGTTAGATAAAAAATCCTTGTTTTTGAATCCATTTTTGTGAATATTATTTATCTCTTTAAAAGTTTCCAGCCTCCTTCAGTAGAATACCAAACCTCACAATGGATAAATCACAAGTTCTTCTTTTTATTCAAATCACATTTCTGTTAGAATAAATGCGGAATAAGAGAGATTAATGAGAAGAAGAATAAAGAACAAAGAGAATAAACATGAAGAGAAAAGAGTGTCCAGAAATGTATGTATTCTCATTAGCGGTAAAATGCTCTTTATAGAGCTACAAGAGGGAAACTAGGTTTAGCTAGAGTACAGACAAATAAAAGTGGTTAGACACACATATAAAACACGTGATTCAAGTCTGTAGACGCAATGCTGGATCCAAGAAGGACAGTGACAGCTCCAACGGTCGGCTGCTCCTTAGTCACGGGTCCAAAACTCACTGTGGGGACCATTGTATGGACAGAAGCTTATTCCTCCAACTTTTCCGAGACAATCTCTCTGGGGCCTTGGACAACTAGACATGGGCTTCACACTTAGACAAGTCTGGACTCCTCAATGCCTAGAACACCCTGATTAATACTCCCCCTCAAGCTTAGTCGTAGAACATGTGAAGACTAAGCTTGAAGACCCATGTACTTCACCTCATTAAAAACCTCAACAAAGAAAACTTCATGGGACAAAACTTTGTTGAGGGAAAAAGAGTATGAAGGGCATGGATCAGGGATCAAGGATGAGTAAGGTCCACAAGCCTAAGTTTGCTGAATAGATTGTTGCAAACCTTGAGACTTGCGGCCTTGGTGAAGATATCTGCCAGCTGACCTCACTTCTTGTGTAACACGACAGAACCGTTCCTTCCTCAATCTTCTCACGCACCTTGTGACAATCTATCTCAATGGACTTAGTCCTCTCATGAAAAACCGAGTTGGTGGCTATATGAATAGCTGCCTGATTGTCACAATGCATAGTAATAGGACCTTCTTGTTCAATGCCGAGATCCTTCAAAAGAGCCTTAAGCCATGTAAGTTCACTGGTAAGCTTTCTCATGGCTCTATATTCGGCTTCTGCAGTTGAAAATGAGACCACTTTTTGCTTCTTAATCTTCCAGGTTACTAAATTTCCTCCAATAAAGGTGCAATATCCTGTTGTAGACTTTCTATCCACTCTATCTCCAGCCCAATCTGAGTCACAGTGTCCCAGGATTTCAGTGCTGATGTTCTTTCCCATCCAGATACCTTGACCCGGGGTGCCTTTGAGATACCTCAGTATTCTTTCTACCATGCTCCAATGATACACTGTTGGTGCTTGCATGTGTTGGCTGACTTGATTCACCGCAGTTTACCCACTATCCTTCAATATCGAGATACATCTTTGAAAATCTCATCTGTCTTCTCCCCCTTTCGATTGACCTTGTAGCCTTCTTCAAGCGGTGTCTTAGCAGGTTTAGCTCCAAGTTTTCCAGTCTCACTTAGAAGATCGACAGTGTACTTCCTTTGAGACAAGAAAAGGCCCTCTGGAGACCTCCAAACTTCAATGCCAAGGAAGTATTTCAACTTGCCAAGGTCTTTAATGTTGAATTTGGCATTAAGAAAGGCTTTTGTAGTCATCGCCTGAGATGATAAGATCGTCGACATAAACAAGCACCACAACAATGCCCTGATGGCCCTTAAGCGTAAACAAGGTGTGGTCTGAGTGAGACTTTTTAAAGCCATGTTCCATAAGAGTTGAGCTGAGCTTGTGATACCAAGTTCTTGGTGATTGCTTTAAGCCATAGATGGCTTTCCAAAATCTTAGAACTTTCCCAGGCTCAATTGTGTCTTCAAGACCAGGTGGTGGAGTCATGTACACTTCCTCTTGAATCTCCCCCTGAAGGAAAGCGTTTTGACATCCATTTGCCACAAGTCCCACGATAAATTGGTGGCCAATGAGAGCACCACTCTCACGGTGTGGAGCTTGACAACTGGAGCAAAAGTATCAGTGTAGTCTTCCCCATAAGTTTGAGTGAAACCTCTGGCAACTAAGCAAGCTTTATACCTCTCAATGTCTCCATTGCTCTTGTACTTGATTGTGAATATCCACCTGGAGCTCACGGCTTTCTTCCCTGGTGGTAACTCAGATATATCCCAAGTGTGGTTTCTTTCCATAGCCCCATTCTCATCCCCAATGGCATTAACCCACTCTTTCTTATCTTTGGCCTTGTCATAGCTTCTAGGAACATAGTGTTGATCCACTTTGCCAAGAAACGCTTGATGATCGGCTGGCAAAAGGGCAAGAGAACACATGACCTGAATAGGATGAGCAACAGCTTGACTGTTGTAGTAGACTCTTGTATTTACCCAATTAGAAGGATCTTTTCTGATGCGAGAGCTTCTTCTTAGCGGTTGAGTCGCTTCTTCAATGACCGATCCTTCTTCGGCTAAAGTAACTGGCTCCTCTTATTCATCATTCAAGTTTTGATGTTGATCTTGAATCGGGTCCTCCTCTTCAGCGTTTGTCGTGTCTTGTTGAGTAGTTTGTGACTCTGAGCTTGCCTCTTCTTGAACAGGATTAGGAGCTTGAACTGAAACAGGTCTTTTTGTGTCTTGATTCCCGTGATGATCAAGAAGAAATCTCAAGCTGGTGGCAAGATCCGAAGGATAACTAGACAGATCCTTTAAACTCTCCCAATATTTCTTGTCATAGTACCTTGGCCCTCGATGAACTTGACCTTCCTGGACACATAAGTGCGGCTGTTGACCGGATCATAGCATTTATAGCCCTTTTGAATTGTTGAATAGCCAAGGAACATGCATCTAACACTCTTAGCCTACAGCTTATTCCTTTGCTCACCTGGTACAAAAACACAACACACAGACCCAAACACATGTAAGTGATCAAGGGAGGGTTTGGTTTTGTTAAGTACCTCAAATGGTGATAAGTCTTGTAAGACTTTTGTTGGGATCCGATTGATGAGATAGCGAGCCGCAAGCACAGCACTTCCCCCAAAATCTTTTTGTTACATTTGTATGGAACATCATCGACCTGGCCACCTTCATTAGATGCCGGTTCTTCCTCTCAGCTACTCCATTATGTTGAGGAGTGTAAGGACAGCTAGTTTGATGAAGAATGCCATGCTTTGATAAGTTCTCTTTGAATCTTTGACTTGTGTATTCCCTACCACTATCTGATCTAAACACTTTGATCTTGGCATTAAATTGGTTAGTGACATAGTTTTGAAAATTAGTGAAAGCTTCAAATATACGGTCCTTTGATGGCATTAATGTGATCTAAAGTGTATTTCGATTTTTCATCTATAAATGTCACAAAATACTTGTTACTATCTCTAGACATGGAAGGTGAGGTCCAAACATCAGAGTGCACAAGATCAAAGCATTTTTCATAAAGAGTAGATGATTTAGGGAACACGGTTCTACAATGTTTACCGAGAATACAAGATTCACAACTAGTGTGATCAAATGAAACATCAGGCAACATTAATTCAAGAGCACGAGCATGTGGGTGTCCTAATCTAGCGTGCCAAATGGAACTTAAACTAGCTGAATAACAAGACTTAAACGAGAAATTATCAGATTTGCTTGGTGTAGTATCCTCAAGAACATAAAGCTCATCTCTGGTTCCACCTTTTCCAAGCAACTTTCCATTATCAATATCCTGAAAACAAACATCATTAGGACCAAAAATTGCATAACAGTTAAGGTCTTTAGTGGCTCTTTTAACAGATAACAGATTGGAAGTAAACTTAGGCACAAAGAAGGCATCACTATCTTTGTTAAACAGTTTTAGTTTACCGGTTCCTTCTATGGGAATTCCATCACCATTAGCAATATTTATTGTCCCTATAGCCGATTCTATGTTGTTTAGAAGCTTAGGATTACTAATCATATGATGAGAAGCACCTGAATCTACAACAAGAGAGTTACTAGGCTTATGAGATAAGAAATTGATACCAGAGTGCTTTGAGGCAAAAGCTTTGATGAGAGCCTCTAGATCACTCTTCCTCACATACGCGGCTGATGCAGTCATAGCCACCTCTCCTCCTGATGCAGATGTACTGGCATCCTCACGAGCAAGGTTGGACCTCTGATCTTTGAACTTATTCGGCTTGAGATGTGGGTGGAGGATCCAGCACTTGTCTTTGATGTGGCCCTTCTTTTTGCAATGGTCACACACCCAAGGCTTCTTCTCATCGGCTTTGTACACACCTTTGTTAGCTGAGATGAGATCTTGCTTTCTAAAGAGACCCATGGACCTTTGTTCCTTTTGAATCCGTGAACACACCTCTTCAAGGCTTGGGAGCTTGTATTCCCTCAATATGTATTTGATGAGATCATTAACGATCGGATTTAATGTAAGAAAGAGAGCAAACACCTTGTCTTGTTCACGCCTTTCATTTAGCGCCTTGGGATCCACAGTGCTCGGCCTCAGCATCTCCAGCTCAGCCCAAAGCGATCTAAACTTCCCAAAGTGCATTTTGAACTCCATGTCTTCTTGGCTCAAGTTGTTTATCGCCTTCTTGACCTCAAAGACTCGGCTCAGATTCAAGTCATTTCCAAAGACATTCTTGAGGGTCTCCCAAAGAGATTTGGCGGTCTCACAGTAAGAGTAAGCCTCAAGAATGCTCGGCTCAAGGGAGTTTTAGATTACACCAAGAACGGTTTGATCTTCTTGGAACCACTTAGACTCAGCGGCTTTGGCATCTGCATCCTTCTCTTCCTCTTTGGCGTCGTCTTCTGCTGGAGTTTTGTCTTCCAAGACATGATTCCAGAGCCCTCATCCACACAAAGCGATTCTTGTGGTTCTTGACCACAGCAAGTAGTTTCCTCCTTTGGGGATGACAAGAACAACAACAGGCTTTGAGTTCTCAGTCACAGCATCAGTCGAACTCATTTTGTTTAAAAACAAGAACAGAAGTCAAGAAGAATATAGAGACAAACTGTGAGATGAAGAAGAGATAATAGATGAAAGAGTTTGATGATTTAGAGAGTAGAATTTGTTTAAGAATAGAGAATAAAGAATCAAAACTCAGGAAATCGAAACCAGAAGCTCTGATACCATGTTAGAATAAATGCAGAATAAGAGAGATTAATGAGAAGAAGAATAAAGAACAAAGAGAATAAACATGAAGAGAAAATAGTTTCCAGAAATGTATGTATTCTCATTAACGGTAAAATGCTCTTTATAGAGCTACAAGAGGGAAACTAGGTTTAGCTAGAGTACAGACAAATAAAAGTGGTTAGACACACATATAAAACACGTGAGTCAAGTCTGTAGACGCAATGCTGGATCCAAGAAGGATAGTGACAGCTCTAACGATCGGCTGCTCCTTAGTCATGGGTCCGGGACCATTGTACGGACAGAAGCTTATTCCTCCATCTTTGCCGAGATAATCTCTCTTGGCCCTTGGACAACTAGATATGGGCTTCACACTTAGACAAGTCTGGACTCCTCAAGGCCTAGAAGACCCTGATTAATAATTTCAAGGTTTGATGCAAAAGTTTGAGAAAGAAGAAGAAGAAGCGATTACAGATATGGATGAAATCGAAGAGTGGGAAGAGTGGATACCAAAATGAAACCTAGTTCAAACTGTGTAATTCACGCAAATAATTATTTGAGAGCCGCTTCTCATTATCGAAACTCCAAAACTCAAAGAGAGTTCTCAAACAAGGAAGAATCGTAAGTCCTTTATTAATAAATCTCAAAACTGAATGTCAAAGAAGCAAAACATTCGTTTAAATAGTAGAAGCTAAACCTAGTTGCGATAATTAAAAAATAAAAAATTAACATAAAACCCCAAAGCCAATAAAAGGAAATAAGACGATTTAATCATATCAAGGTGTTTAAAGGTGTGTAACATAGGTCTCGACGTGTGTGACACAGTCGGCAAAGTATTGATAGATGCAGCTGCATCAGATTCGAAGGAGGGGTTCTATCAGCGGTTCAGACTTTTTTTTTTAGAGTCATTTGTTACAATTAATAGAAGTAGAAGAGTCAGAGAGATGGAAAGTACAGTTTTTAGCCGCTTACGCCTTGAATTTATTCTGCTATAACCGGTACCGTTTTCAGACGGTAATTTTTAGAACCACTAGTCTAGATATAATGGCATGTAAACTGATTCAGATCCCATATGGATTATGAATAGTCTTGTGAAGAAGTCTGAACATTTTCGTTTGAAGAAGTCTGAAGCAATCTCATATCCCATATCCCATATTAATTAAACAATGAAAGCTCACTTGTTTGGCTGTATTGGATTTGTGAAATCTTTATTCCTAAACTAATTAATCTCAAGTTCAATGTTAGATTACTTCTCATGTGCACACCACACGGCATCACCTGATGTAAAGAACAATGTTTAAATAATTAAAAAAAATTGCACGTTTTTTTGTCTAATGTCTTGAAATATAATTGTTTATAACTCAAAGATTCTTTAACTTTTCTACTTGGCTAAAGTCTAGGACTAGGCATTCTAATATTTAGTTGTGTTCACTTTGGTTTTCAACTTCTCGATAGTTCAGATATAGAAGTTTAGAAACTGGAACAGCAAAAAATGGTTTGGTTCCAGTTTAGGTAACTTTTGGTTTGGGTCAGTATGGATAACGAATTAAAGAACTGCTTTGAATCTAAAATAGTAAAATATATTTAGGTTTAATTCGGATCTGATTCATGTCAGATTTTTCTATCCAACTTACGTGAAACCATTTGAACTACCTAGAATTAAAAAAAAAATAATAACTTATTTAATCTAATTTTACCTGAAAACTTAAAAAACAAAAAAAAATAGATTTCGAGTTGTAACTTTAAATATTTTTGTGATTTCAACTATAAATATATTTAATTTTTTGCATATATAATTGTATTTTGGGTATTGGTTTAGTTCGGGAATCTAAAATATTTTTTTAAAAATTATTTAGATATTTATTATTATTTAATTCAATTTGTTTTCAGCTTTGTTTATTTGGTTCTTCGGATTTCGAGTAATTTTGTTGAGATAAATTTTAAATTAAAATTCGATTTAAATGTAATTTTAAAATATTTAATAGTAAAATAACATTGACTATTTTCAGGGTAAAACTAGGTGGGAAGCCCGCGACTCGCGTGGGCGGAGAGTTTTCTTTAAATTAAATATGTACTAAATTAGTTTTTATCTTTTAGAACATAGACATTTCATATACAATATACTAAATTAGATCTGGGATCCAGAGAAGCTTTACTCAAGTTACTATATTTTCTATAACATGCAATGTAAATATGTATTATCTATTAGTGACTCATTGGATTATTAGTTCGAAGACCTTTTTTAAAAAAAAAACATTACTGACGCTTTACACTTGAATAATCGGCTGCGTTTCTACTATTTTTTTATAACATGCAATGCAATATAAGAGGGTTGTACTTACAGAAGGAAATTCGATTGTTTAAAATAACTGAACAAACCAATTAAAAATCTAAAAAAAAACATCACTAAATGTCATAACACTTAACGTGTGCTTAGATATATCTTTTGAAAAATATCTTTGTAAACCACATTCATTGTCTTCTGTTGTGGGTTTCCTTTCTTATCAGTTATCAAAATACGTAGTCCTTTCCTCGATGTTACCCTAGACACAGCAACATAAAACTGACCATGAGAGAAGACTGGTTTAGGTAAAAATAAACCAACCTTTTGCAAAGTTTGACATTGGCTTTTATTTACCGTCATAGCAAATGCGATTGCAATAGGAAATTGCTTACGACGCATTCTGAAAGGGAACCTTGCTTCTGGTGGGGAAACAAACATCCTAGGAATCAAAACTGTTTTGCCAATTCTATCACTACTTAAATGGCTAGCCTCAATCACATGTTTAGCCAATCTGGTCACCAATAACCTCGTTCAATTGCACAAACCGCCTCTAGGATCAATATTTCTAAGTAGCATGATAGGAGCACCAATCTTCAACTTAAGACAATGATTTGGCAACCCAGATATTCTAATACTGTTAAGATATTCCTGAGTATAAACCATATCATCATTCTTACTTGTGTATGAAGTATCAATACTGTCTGAGCTTAAATACTCTTGTGCATCACCTGTATAAAAAGAGCGATTTAATTTACAGCAATATAGTCAGCAAAATTCGAATTCAAATGTTGTATTAACAGTTACCTGTGAGCTTCGACAACATAAACTCATTTATTACATCGACGTCTTGGTTCCGGGGACTCAATATAGCTCTCTCTTGAAAAAAATTTGCATCTCTTGTGGTTTTATACGATGTGCCATAAATTTCAGAGACAATTTTTTCTAGTGGATTTCCTTCACCGGTAATCAATAAATATGATGGAATATCAATTTCAACTTCTCCTGTATTTGGCTCATTTATCTTCCCATTACCGATATCCAATATCCATTTAGCGAAATCTGCCATCTCTTGGTTTTCAACACCTCCCGACCCACAAAGAAGCCTCATGTTTGTTGTTAGTTCCATCACCTTGCATTCTAACCATAAAGGAGATGAATTCAGACTTGCCATCACTGTTTCTATCTTACTGCCACCTGGTATGACAGGTAAAATTTGTCTGAAATCCCCACCTAGAACAACGACTTTACCACCAAAAATTTTATCACACCTAAGTATATGTCGCATTGTTCGGTCCAGCGTTTCGAAACAATGTCTACTCATCATTGGAGCTTCGTTCCATATTATAAGGCTAGCTCGTTCAAGTAATTCTGCCTGATGTGATCCTGCACTTATCGAACAGTATGTAGATTCGTTCACCGCCATTGGTATCCCAAACCTAGAATGAGCAGTTCGACCCCCTTGTAATAGCAATGCAACTATTCCACTCGATGCTACATTTAGAACTATCTGACCTCTAGATCGAATTGCTGCCCCTAAGACATTCCACAAAAACGTCTTACCTGTGCCCCCATAACCATAAACAAAAAACATACCACCTGCATTAGCATTCACAGCATCCATTACGGAATCGTAAATATGTTTCTGTTCATCTGTTATTGTTGATAGCAACCTCTCATGCTCTTTGGCCAGCTTATCACAGTCATAATTCAACTCATCAAGTATTAGGTGATTTGTATCTGTGTACTCTTCAATATCGTCTGGTTGTGGCATTGACTTCTTAAAATTAGCCAGCGAATTTCCATTTTTGCGCAAGTACTTCTCTATTTCCAATAATCCAAGATTCTTCCTCTGTGCTTCGCTCATTTCAAAACCTGTGTGTTTATTTTTTTTTTAAAAAAAAGACTTCGTTAGCATATAATGTTTCCGTGCATGTGGTGGTTACGTATGTTGAAATTACCCAAACTACAGCTACTTTAATATGGAAAAAGTCATCTTACTCTTAGATTATATGTTAACGACCACATTCGTAATAAGAGATATAATAATCTCATAAGTGATTGATGCAAATTGACATAATAATATGAACATTAGTAACATCTAAAACCTAAATGTTAAAGAATTTATTTTTAAAAGCAATTAAAAGGTGAGAGTTATGCTTAAAGCTATTAGCATATAATGTTTTCGTGGTGGTGACGTAAGTTAAATTTTCCCAAAGTACTTGTACTTATATATGCAAAAAGTCATTATACTCAAAGATTAGATGTAAACCACCACATACGTAACAAGAGAATATAATAATCTCAGAAATAGTTGGCCCAAAATATCGATTGCTTAATCATTTGTCCTATCCAAAATTAAGTTATTTCAAGGATTAATGAAGGATTGAAGGGTATATAAAACTGGACAATCCATGAATCTATTTAATTAAAAAACTCTGTAATCTCTTATAAGCAAAGTACTAAGAACACCCTAATGGAAGACGACACTGACACCTTTTGTAAATATTGATATATATTTTTGAAAGGAAAGGAATATTGAAATAGTCAAACCTTTTGCCTCACGAAAGCGATACATGACATTGTATGAACGCATAAGATCAGAGAAGTGGCGACCCATGTTTTTCTTCGAAGTTGGTATAGTCTGCACGATACAACAGTTTACGTCTGATATAGTAAACGAATATCTTGATGGAATATTTGAAGCGTCGCCATTGACGTAGAGAGAGAGAACCATGTTGTATAGCTAAATCTTAGGCGCATTACAATCTAGAATAAGTCATGATTTTATATACTAAATTGCATTAGGGTTTTTAATTGAAACGATTATGCAAGATTTTCCCTTTTATGTTACTTGGGTTGTTTTTTTTTAAAGCGTCGTTATCTATATAATAACCCCTAACAATAAAATATATAGAATAGATTCTGTACGTTGTTATCTCTATAGTAACATATATGTTAATTCTTTTTATTATGTTTTGATTGATTTGATTATATATATCATATATTTTACTTTTTGGCTTTATTTATTTATTAAGGTAAATCAATATAAGTAAATTTAGCTAATTTATATATTTTTCCTCGTCTAACATGAAATCAAATCAGATATAAACACTTATATGAATGATAAGGTTTTTGATATTATATTCTATTTTATCATTAATAAATTAATATCGAATTCTCTTTTCAAAACACGAGAATATGTAATTACTAATTACTACTGTTTTTACTTTTTTTTGGGTGTTGAACACATGTATATATATATATATATCGATAACAATATTTATATTGTTGGAAAATATTACATATTATACGTAATATAGATACTAACATTTTAGATTGTTTACAATATCATCGAGGAAGTAACATGCAAGTAGATACTAACATAAGGAGCATCTAACATAATAACATACCAAATGGTTTATATAAAATGTAGAATGACTTAAGTCATGAAATAAATGTCAACTTGAAAGTAAAACGTGCATTTAGAAATCAGAACAAAAGAAGAATAACCTAAAAAGAACACATGTGAAACACCTAAAACGAAAGTTGCAAATATAACACTAAATAAGATAGAATTTAAGCATCTCCGGAAGGATTCAGTAGATGATAAATGCTGTTCCAAACATGCCCAGGATTCACCAATAATTCATTGTGGCTCAGAACAGCAAACATGAAACGCAAATGATGAGACGAAGACCACTTACTGGCTTCTAAGAACGCAGCAATATACTCATCATCATCTTCAGAAATCAATCCTATAGCATAGCATGCACTTTTGAAGGTAGGATGAAGATGATTGTTGACGGTCCTAATATCCGAATAACTAAACGCTCCTTTTCTCACAAGCAACAGAAGTCGCAGATAGTAGAGCTCACCAGATGTATGTGAACAATATTCTAATACACCGATACCCGTATGACAGAGACGGGGTTTCCACTTCCTTTGCTTAGGATCCCAAACCCACTTTGACGGAAATTCTGGATACGTCAATGTCCTTGCCTCGGGGTAAAGCTGATTGCATTCCATCCAAGCTTCTAATTTGGTTTTCTTCTTCGAGTCAGGCATGTCAGAGAAGGAAACTCCCGATGAAGGGAGATGCACAGGCAAATAATTGATACCTAAAAAGGTCAACACAAATTATCGGGCGACATTAAAATTCGGTTTTTTGTTTTAGGTTTGGATATAATAATTAGGAAGACGTTACCTCTGTTAGCCATTTTCGTAGAATGAAGAGAACCCAATTTTATATGGGATATATATAGTGTAGGTAGGTATAGTGAGGGTTTAGGTTTTTGTTTATTTAATTGGAACACTTTAGAATGCGGCTATGCCCCTTTTTTGGGTTTTATAAAGATAATACAAACTAATTCAGCTAAAATCGTAAATATAGATTTGATTTAAACTTGTATTATACCATTAGGATTTGATTCTATCTGCAAAGCAATCGCCTAATAAGGATTGTTTTTCTTTTCCTTTTTTCTTCTGAAAACTTAATACAGGCTAATAATGCGGCTAAATTTTTGGTTGATATTATACCATTAAGATTTTGATACTATCTGCAAAGGATTTCCTATTAAGGTTACGCTTTTAATAATGCGCCTAAATTAGTGGTTGATATTATCGGTTGTGTGGTGGACATTAGGAGAACATATTTTACGTACGCTTTTTTTTGCACATAACTGAATAAGAAAGAAGAAAAGCACCAGCTATTAAGAAAAGAAGTCTGGTTTTGTTTTTATGTTTTGCCGATGCGATGATTTAGTATTGAATACATATCTTTTTAAAATGAATCCTTTTATTAGACCAAAACCATTGTTAGAAGAAGAGACATAGAAAAACCAGAAATAATTAAAAAGCAGAAAACAAAGAAGAGTCAATGACATTTATGGTCTAAGGGAATGTTTAAGAAAAAATTAAATGGTTTCGGGTCTCCATTTTCCTTTGCTGAGGATCCCAAACCCAATTTAAAGGAATTTCACGATAAGTCAATGTCCTTTCCTCGGGACTTTGCTGATTGCATTCCAACCACGCTTCAAATTTGCTTTTCTTCAAAAAAGGGAATTGCACAGCCCTCCATGTTGATTCACTTGCTGATATATGCCTATGTTTAAGTGATAAGTGTTAGCAAATATGTTGTAAATCTAAATCATATATAATATAATGAAAGAGAGTATAATTTTTAACATACCTTGAATTTGATTTGGGTCTGTCATCGTCATCTGAAAACACATTCAAGAATGATATTATAATATGGTAAACACACATTCAAGAATGATTTAGGTTGTGTGTTATATTGTTTCTCGTGTTTTGTTTTCTCCAATTACCCACTATGACTACACAAAAATTGGATTAAACCCACACGATCACAACCAAATAAAGAAAAACATAGAAATCACAACCAAATAAAGAAAAACATAGAAATAAATAATTTTACCTGTCAACGCCATTGTAGAACTCAACCACCAGCGACTCACAACTAAAGGAAGTAAGACCTTTTAAAAAAGCAAGAAGCAATAAGGGAAGTAAGACCTTTTAAAAAAAGCAATAAGCAATGAGAAACAAAAGGAAGCGCAAAAAGGAAGAAGAAGAGTGAAACCTAATCGTTAATACTCAGGAAAAAAGTAGGAGATTATTGTCAATATATATGGTATAGGCTAATGTAAAACCTAAGTGAATTTATAATTTTTTTTAACGTCAATTTATAATTTTTTTTATAATACAATTGATATTTTAATATATATGATTTTAGATTTTAGATTTAATATATATGATTTTAGATTTTAGATTTAATATATATGATTTTTTATTTTAAATTAAAGAAGGGGTAAAGTGTAATTAGTCACCTTAAGATTGAATGAGAGAGCTTTAAACAAAATTTTTCCATTGCATTTACTATATATGATATGGCTCAGTCAATTCAAACTTGAAGGTTTGTTTGGAGAATAAAAACGTTTATGTAATTTTTGGCCATATTTTGATACTTGGAGGTTGAGGATTTAAATGACCTTTTTCCAGCAAGTAGGCCTACATATTTAACCATATTTGCGTGTTTTCAATATTTTTCTTATTTTTAATTATTTAGGCTATTTCACATGTCATATATGTTTCTGCTACTTGTGGTATATCCTTGGCCTCAGATCAATGCCAGAAGAAACAAACTTTCATAAATTCGCTCTCTAATTTTTCCAGAGAGAACAAAAAAAACAAAAATGATAAGAAAGCAGACACGATGTGAGCCAGTCATCTCCTTCTCTTCCGTTTATTCTCTGCTACACATAACAACAATCTTTGTCTTCCTCATTCACCTGTAAGTTCAACGCAGAAACTCAATTCTGAACTAGAAATTTCTTGGTCTATTTTGAATCACTCACTCTGTATCTGTAATTCTTATTTTCTAAGGAAAGATTGAATTTTGTTTGCCAGTTTTAGGGTTTTTGTTTTTCTGGGTATGTCTTCGAGTTTGAGATTCTTTGTCTGAATTCTTCTATGTTTCAGTAGAAACACAAAAGGAACAGATCAATGGCCGAAGAGAATTTAGGCGGAGAAAGAAAAATCGGATCAGTGAAAGCCGCCATTAACATGTACGGACAAAAAGCTACTCGAAGCGTCTTTCCTCAGCTTGATTTGCCGGTCGTTAAGGTGAGACCAAAGAACAAATCTTTAGATAAAAGTTGTGTAATTTCTTTTATAGTTTGTGTCAAGAATGCTGTTAGTTTGCTAAAGTTTTGATTTTTGAGATTATAATTAGTATACAGTGAACTTCTTGGCGATGATTTTTGTGTTCTCTGTTTTTTATTTTTTTCGTTTAAAAGTCTTCTTCTCCTTCGGTTGCTGAGGACTTGCATAAGTCAGGGAGAGAGCTTGGAATGTACAGAGAGAGCAGAAGAGCTTCTGAGTCTGCAAAGGCAAAAGCAGAAGCTGAACTCTTCAAGGCCAAGAAGACGGTGCAGGAGCTCACTTTACTGATACAGGAGTCAAATCGCAGATTAAAGTCCCAGAAAATCGATGTTGAAGCTGTGAAGAAGTTAAAGATCGATGGGAATGATCAGTACGCTCAAATCATGAGAGAATTAGAGGATGTGAAGCAAGAGCTGAGTAAGCTGAAGCTTGATGTAGCATATGTTTCGAGAGAGAAAGCTGCTGCGGAGAAGGAAGTGATAGAGTTAGGGATTAGAACGGAAGAGAATCTGAAGTTGTTAGAGAGTCTAAAGTTAGAGGTCGATGTAGCGAACGAAGAACATGTTTTAGTTGAATTAGCGAAGATCGAGGCCTTGAAGGAACGTAAAGAGGTCGAAGAGGAGAGAGAGAAGGAAAGGAAGGAAGTGTTTGATTCATTGGAGGAAAGGAGAAAGAGAATAAGAGAAATGGTGAGAGAGATTGAGAAATCAAAGGAGACTGAGAATGTGTTATCTGAGACTTTATCAGATATAGAGATGTTAGAAACTCAGTTAAAGCTTGTTAAGGACATGGAGAGGAAAGTTCAGAGGAATGACAGTATGTCGAGATCGAAAAATCGTTTTTTCGAAAGAGGAAAAGATAATTTGTCGGTTTTGAAAGAAGTTACTGAAGCAACAGAAGCGAAGAAAGAGGAGCTAGGTTGTATTAACGCAGAGATCTTTTGTCTCGTTAATATAATGGATGCGTTGAGGCAAGAACTTGAAGAAACCAAACAAGAAACAGAGCGGTTTAATAAGATGATACAAAAGGATGATGTGGTGATTGAGAAACTCAACGCGAAGCTGCTTATGGCGAAAGGTAGATTAGAAGCAGTATCTGCAGCTGAAGAAAGAATCAGCTCACTCGCTGACAATTTAACTTGTTCGTTCGAGAAACTAAAGAACGATAAAGAAGCTGCAAAGAAAGAGGAGCTTAACCTTAAAGAAGAAGCAAGAGTCATCAAGAGTGAGATAGAGAAAACAGAAATGGGATTTAGCGGGAAGGAGAAAGAGTTGCTTTCCAAGTTAGATGAGCTTGAGAAAGTGAAGCAATCAGAGGCTTTAGCCCTCGAGAAGCTTGAATCAATGGTTGAGAAAACAATGGAAACACGAGAAATGAATTCGCTGCGATGTTCAACCATCACAATCTCAAGATTTGAGTATGAGTATTTGAGTGGACAAGCTTGTCACGCTGAAGAAACCGCAGAGAAGAAAGTGGAAGCGGCATTGGCGTGGGTGGAAGCACTCAAGGCAAGCACTAAGGAGATTTTGATAAAGACGGAAACTTTGAAGAGAGAGAGTGGGAAAACAATAGTGGAAGAAGAGAGGGAATCGTTTAGGATGCAGAGGTCGCTATCGATAAAAAGACTGGTCCAGAACGAGATTCAGAAGTTCAAGGAGAGTTCAGAAGACAACAAAAGCTTGATTTCTCCTAAACCGGTAAGAAAATCGATGAGGCTGAGCGGGAAATTCACTCCGGTTCATGGAGGTAAGGCGAGAAGATACTCATCGGGAAACAGAGGGACTCCCAATTACTTTGTAATCAAGAAGAAGAAGAAAGTTCCGAACTTGGTCAAATTTTTTAGCCGGAAAAGAGATAAGAGCTCTTTAGAACAATGAGAAGTTAGTTATCTTGTTGTAGTGACGACTGAGTTTTTTGCTTGCGTTTTAAGTTTCAGTGTTTCACATTGTTGTAATTTGTGATTGGTTTATTTGTTTTACGTCTTGATGTATTTATGTATACTTAAGTGTATATTAATCATGATAAAAAAAAAAATCCGGTTTTGTTTATTTGTATGTCAATTTTAATTAGAGCTTTTAACTCAACAGAATATGCATTTAGTCAGAATCAAATGTTGTTAGACTAAACCTAATAAAGTAGAAAATTATGTATTACTCATAGTAGAAATGTTGGGGTCATGACTTGTGAGATTCACTTCAAGTGTGTTTTTCATGTATCGGAGTGTTAGCTTCGGCGTTTTCAGTTTCTTTAGATTTACTCGTGGAAACGGTTTTTGATCTAGCGTAGCTTTAGTGCTTATAATTTATTTGTCTTTTTCCATCGATCCTCAATTTTCTTATGCTGGGTCTAAGTTATTTGTGTAATTCTAGTTTCTTTTGTCTCTTTTTTTCATAGGGTTTTTGTCTCTAGAAAATTAAGTTTTCCACAGGTTCTCTTTCTGGAAGTAATTATTTTCTGTAATTAGCTTGATTGTTTCAAATAAAAAAAAAAATCTAAATGTAAATGTAAAAGCTAACACTTGACGTAGGGAAAAAAAAAATTCAATACATGAAAAACACAATTGAAGTGGATCTAACAAATCATGACCACAACATTTTCTACTATGTGTAATACGTATTTTCTAACTTTATTGGGTTTAATTTGACAATATTTGATTCTGGCTAAATACATGTTACTCAGTATAGTTAAAAGCTTTAAATACGATTGAAATACAAATAAACAACCGGATGGCAAAGTTGAAATGTTGTGTCACTATTGCATCTAACTCCTCTTCTTCCATCAGCTTCTCTAATTCCATTCCTCGAAAGTTCTTCCAAATTCTGCATCGCTGCTTTTTCTTTCTCACCCATTCCATTGGTGGCTTGTGCTGCAAGGAACATGTACCCAATCTTTCACCTTTACCTCTGTTTCTTCTACCTTTTCCTGAGTACTTTTTTTTGTTTTTCAGTTCAATGATCACATTTCTTCAGATCTCGAAAAGGCGAATTCGTTTTCAAAACTTTGTAAGTACGTGCCTCGAGTTCCTTGTAGAAGGCAATTGCATCTGCTTAAGGACCGGACTGGTGATTCCACAAGATCTGTAAGATATGTGTTGAGTGACATCTTGAACTCAGTCCTAACCCTAGTGACTTCCATGTTTGGTATCGATAGATTGTCAATGACGGTCAGGCCTTCTCGTCTCCATCCAAGGAAAACAGAGCTATAATCAGATATATGGTTTACTTTTTTTTTTCTTTTTTTTCGTCGCAGATATACGGTTTACTAAATAGGTCGAATCAAGATAATAACGAAATTTGACATCAATGTCGATGTGATGATCAAGATGAGCATGATCGGAATCAGAATTAATGCTTCATTACAATCCCCAATCTCTTACCCTTGAGGCCACTAGCTTTCAAAATCTGCTTGTAAACCCCTTCCGGTATGAACTTGAATTCAGCCTTCGTGGCAATGTCCAATGGATGATAGCCCACATTAGCATCAAAGAGATCAAGAGGAAATGCATACAAAAGAGAGTGAGAGAAAGGTGGTCAACGCTAAGTAGCCAATTAGCTATTTCTCAAAGATTCATTTTTGAACAAGACTTATTTACCTCCGAGAAAAGCTTGGTAGACATGTACCAGAGAGAACCAAGCATAAATTAAACCGGAACATTTCTGGTCTGAGAAACAACCCATTGTCTCAGTAGACCACCGAGATTTTTGCAGAAAGCCATTTCCACATAACTTTTGGAAACCACAAATCACGAACCCTAAACCATCAAAGACTATAAATTAAATCATCATCAATCTTAAACAAATTCCACAACGAAGAGCAACAAAATAAGTGAACATCAAAAAAAAAAAAAAAGAAGAAGTGAACATCTAGCCTATTATGATATGTGTTACCCGATCTTATGAGAAATTATTTAAGCGTTAATTTTTGAAAAACCTTCGTAAAGGAAATGTAAAACTTCCACAAGAATCGTACAAAGCATTTTTAGACGTGATATAAGAATAATTTCAAATATTTAAATGTAAACTTTCTTTCTTATACATATATATATATATATATTAGAATTGTTAAAAAGGAAAAAAAATCAGTGATCACAACTAGAAAATGTAAAACTCGTAAAATATCCCAAATGATTTTTGTACATATAAACTTAACTTTCTAATAAAAAAAAAGAATTGTAAATTTCGACAAAATACTTATAGAGTAACAGAAGAAAAAAAAATGAAAACTTCTTAAAAGTTTGTCAGCATATTAAGAATCTTTAATGTAATAGAAAAATGCAGTAAGGAAAAATGCTTTTTTAAACAAACAAAAAAAGGGAAAATTGTTTTGATCAAAAAACTATATATATGAACATAGCGATGAGCTTTTTTTATTTTTCAATCTTACTTTCATCTTTCACATTTAAAAAAAAAAAAATTCATAGTGTTTACAAGTTAGAAACTATGGCTCAAGATCAAGAACTCAACCTAGAATTAGATTTAACTCCATATGATCCACGGGTCATAAAGAAGACGTTAAGTGACACTGATGTTTCCCAACAAGGTAAGCTTAATTTACCGAGACAGGATTTTGAAAATTTTATAATTCCAGAGATGGCAGGTGATATAATCCAGAATTTGGGAAACGGTGTTAAAGTGAAAGTTCTTATTTACGAAGAAGAATACATTGTAACCTTAAAAAGGAAGTCCAATAGAAGTTATATGCTTAGCGCAGGATGGCCTGCACTCGTCAAAACTAATGGTTTCCAAACAAACGATCTAATTGGACTTTGTTGGGTTAGTAGCTCTAGCAGATTCTATTTACAGCGTATTATTTAGCTAATTTATTTTTTTTTATTTTTTTCAAGTATCTTAGAGATTTTTTAATATTTATTTAGTTAAGTAGTTTTAATTTAACCATGACGTTTGTTTTTTAATTAGTTTTATGAGTTTTTGGGTCATGAAGTCTCACGATGTTGGTTTTATTAGTCTATTGAAAAAATAATAAAATAATATTTTAAGGTTACTTGTATGTTCTGCTCAAGCGAGCTCGTTTCCTTCTCCGCCTCAAAACATGAGGCTTCTTTGCTGCAGCTTCTTTGTCGATAATATAAATAGTGTTACGAATAACTTTTTTTGTTATTCTGTCTCTCTAAACAAGTACGTGATGGTAAAAACAAAAAGTATGAAGTTGGTAAAACGCATTTAAATGCACCTATTTTTCTCTGGTGGACAATTGACTTTAGGACCAGGAAGCAAAGTGTCAACACACTTCCCCACCACTAAACAACTAGAAACTAGAAAGCTGTTCCTCATTACATTACGTGCCCCTACTGTTCCAATCATCGCCTCAATCGCCGCTAATTCCATCCATTTCAATACAATTCTCTGAAATTCTATTTTATATCTTTTTCTTTGATGCACGACTAATATGTAACTTTCTTCAACAAGAAAACAAAAATCTTTAAATTTTAGAATTGAAAATAAGTTACAACTGTTGACTTGGAAAAACTAGGCCAGTCCAGGAACTAGCAACACTATTGATTAAAGCTTGCCACTTCTTCATATTTTAGATGTTTAGAAGCCAAACTTTACTCAAATCAGAATTGTTTCTCTTTGGAGATGGCTCAATTATTTCCAATCCTCTTCTTCGTTCTTACCCATTTCTTTGCCATATCTACTTCTCTAAACGATCAAGGTCTTGCTCTTCTCTCCTTTAAGCAATCCTTTCAAAACCAGAAAGATTCTGTTTTTACCAATTGGAACTCCTCAGATTCAAACCCGTGTTTTTGGCAAGGTATTACATGTAATGATGATCTGAGAGTTGTCTCGATCCGTCTCCCAAACAAACGCCTTTCGGGTTCGCTTAATCCCTCCATTGGAACCCTCTTGTCCCTTCGTCATATTAACCTCAGAGACAATGAACTTCAAGGGAAGTTGCCTGTGGAACTCTTTGGACCAAAAGGGCTTCAAAGCTTGGTACTTTCTCGGAATTCGTTTTCCGGGTTAGTTCCAAAAGAGATAGGGACATTGAAGAGCCTAATGGCTTTGGATCTTTCGGAGAATTCTCTCAACGGTTCGATCCCTTTTTCGCTAACTCGATGCAAGAAGCTGAAAACACTCGTTCTTAGCAACAATGGTTTCTCTGGTGATCTTCCAACCGGGTTTGGTTCGAACTTGGTTCATCTTCGGACGATGAATCTTTCTTTAAACCGCTTGACTGGATCGATCCCCGAAGATATAGGAAGTCTGAGAGATTTAAAAGGTACTCTTGATCTTTCTCATAACTTCTTCTCAGGTATGATTCCAACAAGTCTTGGAGATCTCCCAGAGCTTCTTTATGTCGATCTTTCTTACAACAATCTAAGCGGCCCGATACCAAAATCCAACGTTTTGTTGAATGCTGGTCCAAATGCTTTCCAAGGGAATCCTTTCCTTTGTGGATTACCCATTAAGGTTTCTTGCACCACAAGAAACACACGTATAGTTCCTTCTCAACTATATTCAAGAAAAACCAAACACCGTTCTAGTTTTTGCATCATCCTTATAGCCACTGGAGGCACAGTCGTTGGAATCTTTTTTCTTGCTTTATTATTCATCTACTATCTCCGACGTGCACACAAAGATCAAAACAACCAAGCATGTCATTTAGAGAAGAAGACAAAGCAGGAGTTTCTCTGTTTCAAGACAGGTAACTCGGACCCCGAAACGCAAGATGGGAACAAAACTCAACAGGTTTTCATGCCAATGGATCCGGAAATCCAATTTAACCTCGACCAGCTTCTAAAAGCCTCAGCTTTTCTTCTAGGGAAGAGCAGGATCGGGCTTGTCTACAAAGTTGTTCTTGAGAACGGGTTAATGTTAGCCGTTAGAAGATTGGAAGATAAAGGTTGGTTAAGACTCAAAGAGTTTCTTGCTGATGTCGAAGCAATGGCGAAAATCAAGCACCAAAATGTCTTGAATCTCCAAGCTTGTTGCTGGTCTCCAGAAGAGAAGCTCCTAATCTATGATTATATACCAAATGGTGACCTTGGTTCAGCAATTCAAGGTAAATTAACGAATGTTACGAATTAAGACCATATTCATAAAGTTAGGAACTTTATTCAAGTTTGTTTCATACATTGATGAGCGTTTTCACTTTATAACAGGTAGAGCTGGTAGCTTGTCCTGCAAGCAACTATCTTGGCCAGTCCGGTTAAGAATATTGAGAGGAATCTCAAAAGGGTTGACTTATATTCACGAGTTTAGTCCCAAAAGATACGTCCATGGACATATAAACTCCAGCAACATACTTCTCGGACCGAATCTTGAACCGAAGATTTCGGGTTTTGGTCTGGGACGTATCGTCGACATGTCTTCTTCAGAGATCAGACCAGATCAAATCTCTCCTATGGAGACAGCAAGCTCACCAATCGTCTCAAGAGAATCATATTACCAAGCTCCTGAAGCTTCCAAGATGACTAAACCGTCTCAGAAATGGGACGTGTATTCATTCGGTTTAGTGGTACTCGAATTGGTAACCGGAAAATCCCCGGTTATGCAGACGAAAAGTTCAGAGACGGATTTGGTTATGTGGGTTGAATCGGCTAGCGAGAAAAATAAACCGGTTTGGTATGTTCTAGACCCGGTTTTAGCTCGAGACAGAGATATGGAAGAAAGTATGGTTCAAGTGATCAAAATCGGTTTAGCTTGTGTACAGAAGAGCCCAGATAAAAGACCAATAATGAGAAATGTTTTCGAGAGCTTCGAGAAGCTCGTATCTTCGATTTAAAATAAGTAAATTATACATTTATGTAATATACTACATTTACGTTTATCTTTCATGATTTGTTGAGTTTTGTAAGAACGTTCAAGCAATTAAAGAACTAATAAAGACAAAAAGGAAGAGTATTTTGATTGAAAATGAATAATTAACACAAAATGTCTCAATAATCCATTAAAAATCCAATTACCCGACCGGGATTATTAACCGGAGCTTTTCCCATAGGTCAATTTATCACCAATGTCGTCGAAATTGAATCCGCCGCCAACTCCAAACCCGTACCCGAACCCGAACCCGATACCGCAACCCATTCCGATGCCAAACACCACATTAGAATGGTTAATCCCTTCAGAAGCGACTAACCCGAGCCCGCCGGTGAAGCCGAAGCCGATTCCAGCTCCGCAACCTAAACCGCCGCCGATTCCGGGACCTCCGGTTTGGTCCTTGATTTTCTCGATGTGCCCACGGAGGAATCTGATAACCGGAAACTCGGATTTCCCGGTTTTGATTTCTGGTTTCCGCGTCCAGAGGTTATCTGATCTCATGGTTTTATGATTGTGAATTTATATGAGTGAGAAAACCAGATAAGATTGAGAATAATTATAGATCTACGTAGTACGTATAATACACCTGTGGGAGTGTGGATAGTTATTTACGGATGTATTGGGCTTAAAACTAGCTTAAGTGGCCCATTTAAGTTTGCTCAGTCCATTCATTAGATGAAAAAAAATGAGAGACCATGAGATCAAATTCTTTGATCAGTTCAATGGATTTTACGGTCAAGACTCAAGACGCAAGAGATAAACTATAACTTAGTATATTACACCTTCTTTGTACGTGATGAATAGTTTGTATTTTTCTAGTGTTTAAAAATCTACTCTTAATAATGCTAAATTTAATAATATCATTTCCAATTTTGTAATTGGCTATTGCCTATTGATTCAAATCCATGTGTAGTTGGTAGTCTATTAGTTTCTAGAAAAAAAAAATTTATACAAGTGAGGAAAACCTAGTTAAACGTTTTCAACTGTTTTCTTTTCATAAACTTCTGAACTGACTTTACCAAAAACACTTGTGAACCGGTACTTTGAATTTAAAGGGAACAAAACTCCTTCAAAATTTATAATTAACAGATGCAATAACGACATCGAGAAAGAAACTTTATAGTGATAATTAGTTAATATAAGAAACGGCTAAATAATATTGAAGAGCTTTATCAAAAAATAAATAATAATAATAATATTGAAGAGAAAAGGGTACGAAAGTAAATTCGACAAGGTTGTTGGGTTAGAAGGAAGGAAACATCTTCAAGTTAGTTAGCAACAACGAAAGATTTTGATTGAAGTATATACACATAGGAAGAAGAGGGACCATATAAGTTAGTTAAAGCTGTGCTCTTGAAGCAAACTATTCCTTACCTTACTACGGTCGTTTTTGCAACGTGAAACTAAACAAAAACATCTAATTTATGATTATTTTTATTCATCAGTTAATTAACTATTCTCTTATTCATCATTGGTTCAACCAAACATTAAAAATGAATTTCCGATTATTAATCCTTTTCTCTGTTTTTTCCTACAAAATATTTCATATTTCTTTATTATTTGAACTACAAATCACTTTAGTGACAAGGAAAACTTCATCAAAGTGAAGTTTTTTTTATATTTCACCCGTTTCATAAGTTGTTTTAGAGATTTGGTTTTTTTTTCAAATTTATTTTTGAAACTTATATTTTATTTTTAATTTCACAATATTAAAAAAAAATATATATATATATATAATGTTGGGGTCGGATTCCATTTCTTCGAGCTTAACTCTCGAAAATCGACTAAGTATCAGAAATAGGCTTCACCAAGCCTTATTTTAAGCGAACCGAGCCCAACAAAGGATTCTGTCCAGGCTATGGCTCGGTTCGGCCGAGCTACATCAAGCGGAAGTTGGGCCGAGCTGTGTCGAGAGAGGAATTGGGCCGAGCTGCGCCAAGAGAGGAATTGGGCCGAGTCGCACTAAGAGGAGGATTGGACCGAGTCCAGGCCCAATAAAATCGCGTGGGCCGAGCCAATGAACTGAGAAGATGCGAAGCCCATCAAAGCAAGTGAGATATCCTCGGCTAGGTAAAAGTCTAAGGCAGCGATCACGTAAAGAGATTAGGAAATTTTCTAAGAATTTTTCCGAGATTTTCGGCTAGGCGGTTTATAAAACTTATATAATAGTCAATGAATATCATTCATAATGTATCTTTGGCAATCCTAAGGATATATACTTAATACTTTTCTAGCAATAAAAACATCCTCTAATTTTGTATTCTTGTGATAAATCTTTGACATGTCAATTTTTTCTTAATTTTTTAATAAATTTTGATTGTGCGAGCTTTAACTCATATATATATAAAAAAAACTTCTAAGGGCAAGTATCAATTGCAATTCACTATTATGAGCTCCAAATTGACCGAGAGGTCCAAGACAATCATCAAACTGGCTATTAATCTTGTACTATTTTTGAGTTTTATTTGCAATTAAATGATGCTTTTCTTTTAAAGCAATACTATACCTTTTTAATCTCCGTAGTTTTTAGCTAAATTAAACATCATATTTATCAAAACAAGTATTAGTAAAATTTTAAACTAGTTTTGTGTATAATCGAGCCTGATACCGAAGCTACTATTGTCAATGCAAAATTTGTAGTGACCAGAAATTTTATTCATACTGGTGATTATATATACTCTGATTAGTAAAAAAACTTTTAAAATTGTAGAGGCTTTAGAAAAAATTAAAGTCCTAAAAACCATTAATCAACCAATCAGAGTTTATTGGTTTAAAAGTTTTTAAAGTTATAAAACTGCTCCTAAATTTTTTCACAGCCTTCTCTCTCTATTTTTCACATGATCGACACTTTTTTTTTAAAAGCCCAAATTTGTGGCTTTTATTTTTTTTGTCGCAACCATTTCTTTTACCACCAAAATTTTAATAGTTACAGTGTAAAATTAAAATCTAAAATCACAGTCCTTCCCAATCAAACATATAGGTCACATTTTTAAATTCTAAAGTCATAGTCTATAATTATAGACCGATATACAAGTAGCTAACATTTTATGGTTAATATTGTTACAATCTTACGTTTAAAAATTGTACACCAAAACGAATATAATAATAAAATTTCTCACTGTTTGTGACTTGTGTATGCGATTTGCAAACACAAATTTTGTTGTTGAAGTTATCAACGTTTTTCTATTAATTAAAAAAAAAAATATTCGGTTACAGACATCTCTAACGGTTCTGGAGTAGGCGGGAAAGTGAAGTAGGTAGAATACTCTTCTGTGCTTTACTTAACCATTCGCTAACCAATTATATACAAGCAGATCCTTATATCGTCTCATCGTACGGTGTAGATTAAGCAATGGAATAAGCTTATCGTGGTCTCTCCCGCATATGATCTATAATTCTTCTTCTTTCTCACTTCTCTGGTTCTGTATTTGACAGTTTGTATATATATAAATCATTCTTCATCTTTTTTTTCACCGCTCTTTCTCTTCGCTCCTCAAAACTTCAGCGATATTCAGGTACTCTCTCTCTCACTTTTTCTCCTTCTCTCTAGTTTTTTTCTCGTTCTGTTTTGTTATTTACTTCATTTGTCTTCTCCGATCAAACCAAAGCGTAATTATACGAGATTTCATCGAGATTATCCATTCTTTAGCTTCTTAGTTTGATTTCTCTGAAGATTTTGTGGATCTATCGGCATATATGTGTTTCAATCGAGTTTCGAACGCTTTAATTTCATAGTTTGATCAGAAATTTGCTTCGGTTCGTTCTCTCTTCTGGATTTGATTTATCAAATTTCTGAAACAAATCTTCTCCAGGAAGCATTTTTCCGAGATCGCAAAAATGGAGAAAGTCGCGTCTACAGTAACGGATCTGGCATGCGTGACGGCGCTAAACTCGCCGCCGCCTCCGTTATCACCGCAATCTGACAATAGCAACAACAACAACAACAACAACAACAACAAACAACACCAGGAAGAATTCGCCGCAAGCTTCGCGTCGCTTTACAACTCGATTTTCTCGCCGGAATCTCAGTTCCCGAGCTCTTTATCCCTCTCTCCGTCACCTCCGTCCTCCTCATCTCCTCCACCTCGCGTCGACACCACCACGGAGCACCGTCTCCGCCAAGCGCGGCTCATCCTCGAGTACGACGAGCTCAACGAGCATTACGATCTTTGCCTCTCCCGTCTTCAGTCCCTCATGACGGAACTCGAGTCGCTCCGCCGCGAAAACGACGGTCTCCGCCAGGAAAACGTCGATCTCCTCAAGCTTATTCACATCTCTACTTCATCTTCCTCCTCCGTCTCTCCGCCGGTCGGAAATAACCATAACCGTAACCTAAACCGTCGTCAGATCTCCGATTTCGGTAGCCAGGCTGGGGATAATAAGCATCATCGTCCCGTGAGGAAGACCAATCCGGAGAGAAACTCGTTGCCTAAGAGCATCTCCGTCCGCTCGCCGGGATATCTCAAGATGATTAACCAGGGAAGCCATGGAGGATGTGGCGGTTCGGATCGTCAAGCGAGTCAGTTCAGCTTCACGAGTCAACTCGGCTCCGAATCGGTATTTATTAGTATTATTATTATATTTTTTCACTTTCAGCATCGAACTTCCCTATAATTGCAATTTCAGCCAATTTCGACTTTTTGGTTTTATTTATAAAAAGCCTCTTAAATCTCTATGTGAAGGTATCGCAGAAAGTGTGTGTACCAACAAAAGGAGAGAGAGATGCATTGGAGCTTGAGGTTTATCGTCAAGGGATGATGAAGACGGAGCTATGCAACAAATGGCAAGAGACCGGAGCTTGTCCTTACGGCGATAACTGTCAATTCGCTCACGGGATCGACGAGCTCCGTCCGGTGATAAGGCATCCACGCTACAAAACCGAGGTCTGCAGGATGATCGTCACCGGAGCCACGTGTCCTTACGGCCACCGTTGCCATTTCCGTCACTCACTCACCGATCAAGAGAGGATGCTTCTTCTCACTCGCTGATCTGCGAAGAACAAAAGGTCCCAAAAGGGTAATAATAATTAGCGGTTTGTACAGATCTGATACCTTATAAATATCGTCAATTTTTTTTCTTTTTTTTCTGGGTAATTGAATGAAGAAACGTATTTGCAATAGGAATAAGGATGGAAACGATGTTAAATAATGGTTGATACGATTATAGGAATATAATTAGGGTTGGATATGAAAGGAGAATGAAGAAAAATGTTTGCTTCTCGTTTCTTTCTATACTCTTGAGATGTTAATTCTTCGGATATGTTGTTTATATATCTTTTGGATAAAGCAGGAGAGAACCTGAAAATGGATTTTTAGATTCAACAAAATGTGAAAGCTTTTTACTTTATTCAAATCTTTGCAACTTTATTTCAATCACTTATTAAATTTCTTGGCTTTTTGGTAGTATGAGTTGTAGTTTTGAGTTTAATTGTGGTTTCTCTGCAGAAAACTATTTCTTGACGAGTTTGTGAATAGAAGTTGCCACTAGTTACTTCCTACTGTATGACAAACATATTCTAACTCATAGAATGTGCATGTGTTATGAATCGTCAAGACTAACAAGATCGAGTTGTCAGCCTTGTTTGCCTTTCATTTAGAGTAGCTTTTCTCTGTTAGTTGAATTTGGTTACTAAAGTAGTATTAACTGGTAACATTACCAAGATATCGCCTGTTTTTGAAATCAGTATACTATTTGGATACGAGAAAGTAAATGTCATGCCTTAACAACCTTGTTCAATGAGAGTAAATTAAATGACAGTTTGACCATCTTTTAGTTTAGAAAACGTTTTTTCTATGGTACGGATTGCATATCACCACTGCCTCAGATTAGGAGAGTCTTTGCTGAGAATTTCCCTGTAGATTCAAGTAAAAGGTAAAACCAAAAAGAAGAATCTTGTGTGCATTTTGTTGCTCTTGCTTTAGTGCAGGATTCTAACAACTATGTTTACCCTACATGAGTAACTCTTTTTACCTATATGCATCGGAATTATGGTCTCCTGAACTTACCGTGTTTCATTTTGACTGTACCCACGATGTTATCATCTTTATGGTCTCCTGAACTTAATTTCACATTTGGAACTTGGAAGGTTTTGCTAGTGGATGCTCCACTACGTAGAGTTAGATTCGTTTTCCTATTATAGTATTCACTTTTCGTTTGCATGTTCTTCTACGAAATGTGCGGCTTTCACGAGTTATAGCTTTGTCTTGGACTTAATATCTGATCTCAAAAGAAAAATTCTTTCCTTCTTTAAGTAGTGAGTTTACTGGAAATTTAATGATCATTAACACCTGCTCTAAATGATAATTATTGCTTAAACGTAGTTCTATCTCTAACATAGAATCTCCTGCCTCAGTGCAACCTCTATGGTTCTCATAACGTAATGTGGATGTGATAAGAACTCCACATTGGATATGAAATGAACAAACTAATGCGTTATAAAACTTAGAAGCAACCTCACACAGAAGCTAGCGTTCGTAGTAAATCTTAACGGTCTTTGCTGGCTTGGTTTGGCCTAACCCTGATAAGTGAAGCTTTGTGTTATTGTCCAGTTTACATCGGACGTAAATGCTTCCATTTGATCCTTGTTGTCTGTGTAAGTGTGTATACTTGAGCCTTGGATTATTATTACTTCTTAGATCCCTAAACTGTTGGTGAGATGAGTATGTTCTATACTTATGGCTAGCTTTAGAGAATTCACAAGCTTTTGAGAACACATCAGGAGGACTTTTTTTTTACTGAAACACTTGTGATTTTCTTATTTTTGACATGGTACCTCTGAGACTGCTCTGTATCCTGTACTCTCTCAGTTAGCTTGCCTTTGATCTTACCCGGTGAAATCACATTGAGAATTCCGTAATAGTGTCTGGATGATAATTTTACGTGATGAGTTCTTTTTAGGATTTGCAAGATATGTTGTGGCTAAGCCCGTGCATTACAAACAGTATTGTTTTTGAAAGCAGTGTTCAACTGACAAGATTAATGAAGTTTGTCGAACATCTTTGGGCTACGTACACTATGAATCTTCAATAATGGTAAATCATTTACTTTATGCTATCTTGGGCTGGTTGTAATTTATTATATCGGTTGTGAGCTGCATCCTTACATCTCGAAGATGTGCTCTTTCTAAAGATTGAGTCACACAAGAGTTGTACAAGAGAGCTTCATGTGTAGATGCATGCTCTATTACTCAGAATTGAATCATAGTTTTCCTATTATAGTATTAGAGAATGCCGTAAACTTTAGAGTTAGATTTCCTCTTCTAGTTATCAAGCTCTTCTACAAACTATTGCTTTGTTGTAGATTTAATAGTATTGGCCTCTTTAGGATTTACCTGTTTTCCAGTTTTAAGTAGTGAACTATATGGAAAGTTAATGCTCAATTGCTCATTAGTGCTTCTTTCTTTTACTAAATAATAATGCCATTGTTTGCTCGTCCTTTTCCCATTAATATGAATTTCTGTTACCCAGCTTTTATGTTTCTGAAATCAGAATCATTTTTATTGGTGAAAATGTTTGTTTGCGAGTTCTGGGATTTGTCATTTGTTGTTGGTTTTTAAGATGCAAATACCACAAGTCTGCGACAACATTAAAGAACTCAAGAGAAAGTATTTTGCATGATGAGATTTCTGGATGGAGAAGATATGTTTTAATCACTCCTGGCTTGTTTGTGAAAGCATGTGAGTACTTCGTAGCTACACTCCAAGCCTGGATGCAAACGGAGTCATGCATTTCAGGCACTGAGTGTTTATCTCTGAAATATTCACATGCTTTCGCGAACATAGCAGGAGGCATTTACCTTTAAAGACATGATTTTTCGTATCCACATGTTACCTCTGGGTCTGCATTGTCGCCTATCAGGTAAGTTTACTTTTGATCTTACGTTAAGCATGCATTAAATTTGTACGATGATATTTTTATGTGTTAAATTGTTCTGGCAAGGGGTCAAGAGAATGTTGTGTCTTAGGGCTAAGCGCATCTGAATGTTTTGCAATTGCCAGACATGAGATTTCCGGTCGATCTGTACAAGTTTGAACATGTATATCAATTTGCGTATTAAGGCACTTATTCAAGGATTGGAAACCCATAATAAATTTGAGTTTAGAGTTTATTGTGCTTTGTTATTATAAATATGCCAATTATCTATAAGCTTTCAAGATCAGAGGATTGATTGACATATCGAGTGTGTGCACACATAGGCTCTGCACCTAGTCATGTGTTAAGGTTTAGCATTTATTCAATTTTATTCTCTATGATTGTTTTCACGTTTCAGATCTCAGAAACAACTAAAAAAAGATTGTTAGAAATTGATAAGAAACAAAGGAGGATGTTAGTGATATACGTTGCTGAAAATCGCGGAACCAGATTGTCAACATGGACTCTGAGAAGCGTCTCTCACGGGGAGATATGTTGAGGAAGGCCTGTGATCTTCTTGATTAGCTGGATCTTCTTGACTCTCGGAGATAGTCCCGAGTCCGCGCAGTCTTCAGCCTTGTGTTACACTCTCCCACGAGTTTTATGGTGGCTGGCGAGAGCAGCGGATGCCCAGAGAAGAACATCTTGGAACATTGCGATGTTTATAAACGATGGTCTCAAGTATAACTAGTGTAAGGAAACAGAAAATACATATGGCTCTATATGTGTTTGATTTGTAAAAGCCGCATGGACTCTGATCGGTAATATTGGAATGCATTTTTCCGAATACGTCATCTTGTTTTACTTTTTTTTTTTTTTTTTTTTTGGGGTAAAATCATCTTGTTTTACTTTACGTGATGTTTAGAGTCTTTAGACATAATAGAGCGCACAAATTTAGAAAACTTGAAAAAAATACCAAGCATAATTCTTATCTTATACCAATGATAGTTCGGCTGTTCTAAAAAAAAAAAAAATATATATATATATAGCAATGATAGTTCGAACCTCCCCCCCCCAAAAAAAAAAAAATCAATGATATAAGAATAATCAAGTAATTAATCATTTATAAGGACAATTAAGGAAGACAACTAATATGTTTTGCCTTAAAGATTTATATATTTGAAATGAAACAATTTTGCTTTTGTTTAATATGAAACGGAGGGAGTTCTGAACTGAGATAATCTTGAAGGAGAAAACGAAACTAGTAGATATCTGTCTTTCCAAAAGGTTACTCACTTGAAAATGGTTGCAATACTATTTTCTTGAAGATATAGGGGTTTATTCAATCAAACATTTGGAATTATTTATATTAAAATTAGAAATCTTATTTTATTCAAACAAAAATTTTTAAAAGTTTTTTAAAATCTACTGTTATTGAACTAATGATTTGTAAATAATTTTCAAATCTAGTGTTATTAAAAATATTTTATTAAAAATATTTTAAGTTATAGATTTTAAAGATTTTTTATTGATTTGAATATGTTTTGGTGGAGTTTCTTATGAAATTCTATCAAATCTCACCTAAAACATGAGATTTGGATTTTTTTTTTTTTAACTAAGAAACTCTACCAAAACATATAAATCACTAAAATTTCCTTAAAATTCACCACTTAAAATATTTTCAATAACAGTAGATTTGAATATTCATTTACAAATCAATAGTTCAATAACAGTTGATTTTAAAAGATTTTTTAAAATTCATATTTAAATAACATAGGATTTGTACGTAATTTTAATATAAATCATTCTAAATGCTAAATTGAGTACACCCCCTCCCCTTTAGTACTTAAGATATTTCTAATAACAGTAGACTGATTTAAGTAGACACTAGATTCTAACCCCGTGCATCCGCACAGGAATATTTTTTATTGTTTAACGAATTTTGTAATATAATTTGTGTTTTTGAGTTTAAATATAATTATTTTTATAAATATATTTTTTAATAAGTGAAAATATTGATTTTTGTGTTTAGATATATTTTTATAGTATTAAAATTAATTATGATTATAAAAATATAATTTTAATCCGTTCGCTAATATTAATTCAAAATGAACTATTATAAAACATAATTCTAACTTTTTCGTTCATATTACCGTATAATATAAATATTTGTTAAAAGTTTGAGATGTATTAATAGTATTATTTAGCATTATAGTTTTCTAAAATTTAATCAACGAAGGGAGTTTACAACTGGTTTTTCAAACCACATTATATTGTATGCAATAATTTTTAATTTTTTATGTTTTTATTTTGTATGAAAAATATATTTTCGATATACATGTATAATTCAAAATTAGTGATTTTAGTTACCAAAATATTTTTAACCCGGTTTTTATATATATTTTTAGTTCTATAAATTTTTAAAAATATATTTTTAATATTTAAATTATACATTTGAATTTGACCTATTATTTTATTATTAATTTGTAAATAAATCATAATCGTAAATATAGTATATAAGCAACATAAATATCATATCATTTACATTATTATAAATATTTTATATTTCAAATATGACCATTATTTTTCATATATGAATTAGTTTTTTTTCAAAAATTCTAGATATTTTTGATAAAAATGTTTAATAGTATAAAAATTATTTAAATTAGAATCTTTAAATCAAATCTAAATTAATATCTGATTTAATATTTTTAATCAAATCAAATCAAATCTAAATTACCTATATTTAAGGAACTCAAAAAATATTTAAATTCATAACTAATTTTCGAAATTAAATATAAATAATTATTAAAATTATTTTTAAACACTTAAAAAAAATTAGGAGTGTTTGGAAGCAAGTACTAAATGTGCTTCTGTTTTAATATAATAGATTTATATTAAGAAAAAAACTCTGATCTTATTATTTCCATAAGCAGTGTATATATATATTACATAACTAATGTATCAGAAACCCTAATGGGCCATGAGACGTTAACCTGATGGTTAATGGGCCGGTTACTAGAAGTCCATTTGTTTATAACACTCCCCCTTGGACAAGGTAACCGTGCCTGTCACAAAACCGGGATCTCTATAATGCGCTGGGGAACGTTGCCTCATTAAAACCTTACCAGGAAAACCCAGTGGGAAAACCATGGTGAAGGAAAAAGAGTACAACACGCATTACTCCCCCTGGTTTAGGCATCACTGTAGATCTCTAAGTCTACGCATTCCTATCTGATGAATGAGCTTCCGGAGTGTAGAAGTCGGTAATGATTTAGTGAATAGATCGGCTGAATTTTCGCTTGATCGGACTTGCTGAACTTTGACCTGACCATCCTTCTGCAGCTCATGAGTGAAGAAGAATTTGGGCAGAATATGCTTCGTCCAGTCACCTTTGATGTAGCCGTCCTTGAGTTGAGCGATACAAGCTGCATTGTCTTCATACATCACCGTAGGCTCCTTATCTTCGTCCATACCACAATCTGATCGGATATGCTGAGTCATGGACCGCAACCAAACACACTCTCTACTAGCTTCGTGGATGGCCAAGATTTCCGCATGGTTGGATGAGGTAGCGGCAATAGTCTGCTTCATGGATCTCCAAGATATGGCTGTTCCTCCATGCGTGAAAACATAACCGGTTTGAGACCGGGCACAGTGCGGATCTGACAAATATCCTGCATCAGCAAAACCAACTAGACCATCCTTGTTATGGTTAGAATAAAATAATCCCAAGTCCTTAGTACCTTGAAGGTATCTAAGGATGTGCTTAATACCGTTCCAGTGCCTTTGAGTTGGACACGAACTAAAGCGAGCTAAGAGGCTCACGGCAAAGCAGATGTCTGGTCTAGTGTGACTAGCCAAGTACATTAATGCTCCTATGGCACTGAGGTATGGAATTTCAGGACCGAGGATTTCTTCATCGTCCTTCTTTGGACCGAATGGATCACTATCCAATCCAAGGCTTCTCACAACCATTGGGCTGGTCAATGGGTGGGCCTGCTCCATATTGAATCTCTTGAGTACCTTTTCAGTGTATGCCAATTGATGCACAAGGATTCCGTCATTGACGTACTCAAGTTGTAATCCCAAACAGAATTTATTTTTGCCTAGGTCTTTCATTTCAAACTCTGCTTTTAAGCATTCAACTGTTTGGGCGATTTCACCAGATGTTCCGAGGATGTTCAAGTCATCCACGTATACTGCTATGATTACAAATCCTTTGTTTTGATATTTTCTGATGAAGATGTATGGACTGATCGGATCGTTTTCGTAGCCTTCTCTGATGAGATATTCGCTTAACCGGTTATACCACATACGTCCGCTTTGTTTCAGTCCATATAAGGATTTGTTCAGCCTAATGCAGTGTTTATCACGAGATGCATGCTTATCTTTGAGCTCAATACCATCTGGTAATCTCATATAGATTTCACTGTCCAGTGGTCCATAAAGATATGCGGTTACAACATCCATTAACCGCAAATCTAAGTTTTCTCTTATGGCCAGACTTATGAGGAATCGAAATGTAGTTGCATCCACCACTGGAGAATAAGTCTCCTCATAATCGATTCCGGGTCTCTATGAGAATCCTTGTGCTACAAGGCGTGCCTTGTATCTAACGACTTCGCCGAGTTCGTTTCTTTTACGCACAAAGACCCATTTGTTTCCCACTGGTTTAACATCGAATGGTGTCCTTAAGATCGGACCAAACACATTCCGTTTCTTTAAACTATTCAACTCCATGTTTATGGCTTCTTTCCATTTCAGCCAATCTGATCTACGAGTGCACTCAATTATAGACGTGGGTTCTAGATCCTCTTGCGTGTGCGCAATCTCAAGTGCTACCTTGTATGCAAAAGTTTCATTGATGTCGACATCTTTTCTGTTCCATAGAGAACCGAATATGATATAATTGATTGAGATCTCATTATTATCAATCCCTTCAGAACCTTGAGTTTTGGCGTCCCAAACCTCTTGAGATGGTTCGATAGGGTAAGTATCAGCTGAGGCTGTATCCGTGTTCTCTTGAATCCCGGTTTCAATCATTGCACCTTTCTTTGATTTCCAGGGATTCTTATCTTTGGAACCTGGTGGTCTGCCACGTTTCTTACGTGCGTCAGACTCTGTAGCAACTTGACTTTTCCCTGAGGGGACATCTATTCGTACTGGTGCATTACAAGCTGGTATGTACGATTTGGTAACTTTGTTCGGGTCAGCAAAGGAATCTGGCAATTGATTAGCTAGCTTTTGTAAATGTATAATTCTTTGGACCTCTGAATCACATTCTAGAGTCCGAGGATCTTGCCATTGTGTGGATGTTTGATTCCATGAAAGTTCTTTTACCAGCTTGTCTGTCTCACCACCTAATCTAGGATATACCGATTCATCAAATCGGCAATCTGCATATCTGGCTTTAAACAGATCTCCTGTAGTTGGCTCGAGATATTTTATGATGGTGGGAGAATCAAAACCAACATATATTCCCATCCTCCTTTGAGGTCCCATTTTAGTCCTCTGTGGTGGTGCAATGGGTACATAGACTGAACACCCAAATGTTTTAATATGGGAGACGTCTGGCTCATGACCCGTTAGCAATTGGGATGGTGAATATTTGTGCTCACTAGATGGTCGTATACGTATTAGTTCAGCGGCATGTAAGACTGCGTGTCCCCAAGCTGAGACCGGGAGTTGTGACCTCATGAGTAATGGTCTAGCAACCCATTGAATTCGTTTAATGAAGGATTCAGCTAATCCATTTTGTGTATGGACATGTGGAACGGGATGTTCAACACTTACCCCCATGGACATACAATATTCATTAAACGCTTGGGAAGTGAATTCACCAGCATTATCAAGACGTATAGTCTTTAATGGGAAGTCTGGAAAATGGGCTCGTAATCTGATGATTTGGGCCAATAATCTAGCAAAAGCCTGGTTCCTAGAAGAGAGCAGACAGACATGCGACCAGCGGGTCGATGCGTCAATGAGGACCATGAAATATCTGAATGTCCCACAAGGTGGGTGAATTGGTCCACATATGTCTCCTTGGATTCTTTCCAGAAAGTTCAAGGTCTCTTTAGACACTTTGACTGGTGAAGGTCGGGTAATCAGTTTCCCTTGTGAGCAAGCTGTGCACTTGAGGTGCTGAGGGAAAATACCATTTGGTTTAAGGCTGTGCCCTTTAGAATTCTGGACTAATTTACGCATCATGTTCGCACCGGGATGACCCAGGCGATCATGCCAAATAGTGTAATCTAAAAACTGTGCTTTGATAGCAGCATTAGCCTCAATCATACTGACTTTAGCATGGTAAATGCCAGTAGATACGGCGGGTATAGTTTCAAAAACTTGTTTATGGCCATTTATCATTTTAGTGATAATTAAAAACTCTTTGTTCCCTTCATCCTGAGTTTCGATATGGAAACCATTCAATCTTATGTCTTTGAAACTCAATAGGTTTCTCTTACAACTGGGTGAGTATAAGGCATCAGAGATGTCTAGATATGTGCCATTTGATAACAACACATTAGCTTGGCCATGGCCCTCTATTAGGCTCGAACTACCCGCTATAGTGCTAATGTTTGCGGTTTTGATTACTAAATTTATGAAGTAATTCTTGTCTTTTAGAATGGTGTGGCTCGATCCAATATCCACAATGATATCCATATTGTCTTGCATATCATCATTAAACAAGAATTATAATTCAATAACATGCAAAAATGAGATGTAAATAAAACATTACTCCATAAATAAAA